TAATATATATACATATATATATGTTGTTGTTGCTAAGTGCCTTTAAGTCATTTCTGACTCATAGAGAGCCTAGATAGGGTTCCTGAGGAGCAGGTGGTAAGTTTGAACCACCAATCTTGTGGTTCAAACCAACCTTGAGGTGAGTGCCTATGGCACCACAGCAGTACTCCAATATATATGTATACATGTGTGTGTATTGTTGTTGTTAAGTGCTTTTGAGCCGGTTTTAATTCATAGTGATCTGGTATAGGGTTTCCAAAGCTTTAAATCTTTACAGGAGCAGAAAGCCTCATCTTTCTTCCACAGAGTGGTACGGCTGGTAGATTCGAACTGCTGAATTGTTACAAGTCTAGCTCATATTCCATTACACTACCAAAAGCTCTCTCCCTCTCTCTCTCTATCTATCTATATATATATGTAGGAGTCCTGGTGTGGCACTGTAGGATAAGCACTAGATGGCAAACTTGGTTTGAACCACAAGGTTGTTCTTGGTTTGAAGCACAAACTTGTTCAAACCCACCAACCACTCTTCAGAAACCCTATACAGGGTTACTATTAGTTGGAACTAATTCGATGCCACTTAAAAACAACAATATATGTATTTAAGCACAGATAGTCCTGGCGTGGTGCTGTGGGTTAATGCACTGGACTGCAAAGCCATTCAAACTGAAAGGTCAGCTTCTCTTACATTCCTTCATAAATTTTGGTAGAAGCTATGTCAATGTATGTTTCTCCACAAGGGTTAGTCCTAGATCATCTCTTGCTTCTCTATCAGACTAATCATCTGTTCTTGAATGAGAATTATTATCTTGAAGCAGATGGTTGCCCAGGTCTATTATATAATACCTAGTATCATATGTATATATATTAATACTGTAGTCACTGACTTGTAAAATATATGAAACCCAAATTTAGATGAAAAACCAGCCACCCAAATGCTTTCATCTACCTAATGCTTATATTGAGATATATTCAAATGATTTATAGCATTTATGATTTTTTGTGGAATATTGAGTTTGTTCCTAATCATGTGTTTTTCTTTATAATTATATTTTATCATGTGATTTTGATTAAGAGTACAAATTTCTAAAAACTCATTTAAAAATGTAAAGTTGCATGTTTCAGGTATTTGTGTAAGTTTATTGTTGTAAATGATGTAGAGTTGGTTCCAATTCAGAATTTCCTGTACAGAATTTCTGAGGAGTAGCTGGTGAGTTTGAACCGCTGACCTTCCAGTTCAAACCAACCTTGCAGTCTTGTGCCATACAAAGACTTTTTCTTTGAATATTGTATATCTGCTTTTTCAAATGTTGCTATTTAATTATGTATCTTAATGATCTTGGGGATGGGGGAGAGTTGATATGCAAATGTATAACCCTGTATCAAAATGATCTGCCTAGATGACTTTTGTTTATATGTGTGTGTATACAGCCACAATTCCTTCCGGAGACACCTACCAAGACAAATGCAGGTTTCCAGTGTTGATTTCAGCATTGGCACAGAACCTGTTCTACAAAGAGGAGAAACTACAACCAGCATTGGAAGGATAAAGCCAGAACTCTACAAACAGAAATCAGTTGACTCTGAAGGCAACAGGAAAGATGATGTCAAAACCTGTGGGAAGCTTAACTTCACCCTCCAGTATAACTATGAAAGTGAACTTCTAGTTGTTAAAATTATCAAAGCCTTAGATCTCCCTGCTAAAGACTTCACAGGAACATCTGACCCTTATGTGAAGATCTATCTTCTTCCAGATAGGAAAAAGAAATTTCAGACCCGAGTGCACAGAAAGACTCTAAATCCTTTATTTGATGAAACCTTTCAATTTCTCGTGGCATATGATCAACTAAGCAACCGAAAACTACATTTCAGTGTATATGATTTTGACAGATTTTCTAGACATGATATGATTGGGGAAGTTATTCTTGATAATTTGTTTGAAGTCTCTGATCTCTCCAGGGAAGCCACAGTATGGAAAGATATCCACTGTGCTACCACAGTAAGTAATAATTCTACCAACATATTGGTTTATATTAGATATTATTTGATATATAAAATTATTAACCAGCTTAATGAAAGAAATCCTATAGAGTTTATATCTTAACAACCTGCTAGGGTAGGATTTGGTTACATGCATAATAAAAAAGGTAGTACACGCCAGTGTGTGAATAATATTGAATAATATTTTCATGATAGCCTTGATAAATGTAGTCTTGTATAGAAATTGGTACATACTTGTATGAACACACACACATTCTTTGTTGGTATAGATGACATATTATTTGAAAATGCTATTTAAGATTGTTCTTGGAGGAGGATTGAAAATTGAAGAGGAGTTAGTATTCCTGGAAGAGAAAACAGACTGAGGGAAAGGCAATACATCAAGACAGTATAGAATGGTTTCAAGGGAAAATGTGTACTCTCAGTGGGAATTTGAGATGACAAAAGGAATAAAGGGAACCCAAATGAGAAATATCATATATGAACTATAATCAAAAGGACCTGAAAAGCTATAAGGATTTATATTTATTTTGTTTTTATCAGGAGACTAAAATTACTGTAGCTATAGAGTCCTGGTGTGGTGCTGGGGGACTGTAGGTTCAGTATGAACCACAAGGTCAGCAGTTCAAACTCACCAGCTGCTCTTCAGAAACCTTATAGAGGGTCACTATGAGTCAGGATCAACCCGACAGCAATTAGCAACAACAACAACAACAACAACAACAACAACATTATAGTATAAGGAGACCTGATGTGGTACTGTCAGGGTAATTCACTGTACCGCAAGAGCAGTATGGACTGCAAGGTCAGCAGTTCAAGCTCACCAGCTACTCCTGGGAAACTCTATATGGGGTCAATATGAGTTGGAATTTACTCGCTGGCACTTAACAACAAATATATATATATATATACCAAATCATGGTGCTACTTCAGAAGAAGCCATATTCACATAAATGAAGTATTTGAAATACCACATCTAAACACTGATGAGTCCCTAATCGCCTCAGTGATGATCATTTAGCCATTTTTCAAGCATTTATAGGAAACATCTATGTTTAATATAAAATTAAAATTAAATTATATTAACAGCGTCTATTATCAACAGCTCTGGAGTGGCACTGTAGGATAAACACCTGGACTGCTAACCGCAAGGTTAACGGTTCAAACCTATCAGTCTCTCTTTGGAATCCCTATATAGGCTTGCTACAAATCAGAGTCAACTCAATGGCAATGTCACAGTTGCTTTCCTTGTAGTCATTAGGGATTTTAACACCTAACTCAGTTTCTCTACTCATAAAGTAGGTATCCATACCTTCTATTCCTTATTAAATTCTACTAAAACTACTCATTATAATCTGGTGAATTTTGAACCTTCCTCATTTTCACCATTTTGTTTGATACTTTTGCATGGGTTCTACTGAACTCAAAGCAATACATTTTGCTCCCGCCTGAAATATCCTGCCTAGTGAAGCCTTACTCATATTTTTAGATTCAACTCAGACATACTTCTCTTCCACAGAGAAGGCTAACTTGACTCACTTGTGTTTTCACTTGGCATTTCCTACTCACCAAGCTGCACATGCATTTACTAAAGTGCATCTTATGAAAACTTCTGGAGAAAGGTGCTGGATGCATTCTGTCTGTCACTCCTGATTCATTCTCCATTATTCTCAACTCTGCTTGGTGATACAGAAGACTGCCCTGTTTGTTTCATAGGCTCTCTGTCCTCTGAGCTCTGGAAAAAATATTTTAGGAAGGAAGGAGAATGATGTTAGAATATTTATTTTCTTCAGGTCCTTTGCTGCAAGTTTGTCTCAGGCTGGCTTTGTTCTTCCTGTGACAATGGCAGTTTCTCACAAAACAGCCTGTTTTCTTACCACTTTCCTCTGAGTCCTGATAACTTCTCTTCCATACCTAGGGGTCTTCTATGGTTGTCAGCTCCAGGTTACTGCCCTATTTCTTGTGGTTTCCCTACTTCTTGCTCACATCTCTGTACTCTGCAACTATTCCTCTCATTAAACCCTCTGGAATTATTCTAATTGGAGCATGCCATCAATTTCCTGTAGCCATCCTAAAACAAGACAATTTCTGATTGTTTCTGTCATGAATCAGAGTCAGTTCTGATTCATAGTGACTCTATGCACAACAGAATGAAACAGAACAAAAGCTTAATTCCTTGTAATCCTTTTGGAGCATGCCACGAGTATGAGATGTTCTGACATTCATTACCTTTTGTTGTTGTTACTATTAAGGCATTCAACCACAGAAGATGAGAAAGATCCATGACAATTGCTAAAGTCTTCTCCTCTTTACCAACCAGAAAAAGCTCAACAGACCATATTGTTTCACATTTCAGTGCATTTGAAAAAAAAAAAAAAAGGTTTTCTATATCTTAAAATCAAAATTTCAGATGGAAATTACACAGCATCTATTTAATATAGTCTAGAAAAATAGCTCTATTTAGGTTAATCTTATACTTTACAAACATTCCTTATGTGTCCAATTTATTACTTTAGAATCTTAAAATAAAAATCTTTACAAAATGCTATATATGGCCTTGATTTTTTTTTTTAAAGTTTTTATTGTGAATTGAGTGATAGTTTACATGGGGGAACATCAGTTTTACACTCATCTTATCATATTGTTTCATTACAATGATTACAATCATATTCATTTAATTGCAGTGATTATTGATTACAATCCCCCGCATGCTTCATCATTCAACATTATTTGCTTCTATTCCCTCTGGGTTTTTTGCTTGTTTTGTTTTGGATGTACACCATAACACTCAGGAATATACAATCATTCAAACAGACAAAGGGCATACCCTGCAAGCCTGCCTCCCCACCTCACCCCCACCTGCCAGCACACATCCCCTTTCCCTCCATGATTCTAGAGTCCTCAGCTGTTCCTTCTCTTCATGTCATCATATTTGCCTCCATCTTTGGTGTCACTGCTTCTCTGGGTAGGGTCCCACAATCCACTCCCATTCTTCTCCCTTGATGTCCCAAGGATCCTCTGCTCCAGAACTGTAAGATCAATATGTCCTTGATTTTTAAGTATTACATACTGAATATAATTTAACCTTTCCCAAATATTGATAATCTTTATGACCATTAATTATTATAACAAATTAAGTGAAAATATTTCATTTTTGTTCATTGTTCATCTATTACACTGTATTATATAAAGTTTATATCCTCCCTGAATTTCTTCTCTAGTTTTTTGGTTTTAGGTTGCACAATCAAGAACCTACTTTGGTTACAATTGTATGAAGATACAGTCAGTAGGTCTTAAATAAGTACCTGGGACCTTTCTCTCAGAGTAAAATGTGTGAAATTTATGATTGATTGAACACCTTTTCATGTTACTTTGAAAGTTCACGAGAGTGTTCCAAAACCACAAGTGTGATTTTAAGAAGTCTCATGTGCAAATCATTTGAGAATTGATAGACTCCAACTTCATTTTTTCTCACTTTACAATTTAGAAAATGGAGGTCGTGAGATATTAGGAAATTCACTTAACATTCACACAAAACAAGAACCAAAACAAGAAGTTAAAATTTTAACTCCTACTTCAATGTTGCTTTTTCTGGGTTATATTGTTTCTGTGGTTGTTGTTAAGTGTGGTTGAGTTGGTTCTGACCCACAGCAAATCTGTATAGAGTTTCCAAGAGCAACTGGTAGGTTTGAACCACCAACCTTGCAGTTCAAACTGACCTTCCCATCTAGTGTATTATCCCACAGTGCCACACCAGAACTCCTGGGTTATATTGTTGTTGTTTTTGTTGTTAAGTGCCGTCAAGTCAGTTATGACTCATAGCGGCCCTGTACAGGATTTTGGAGGCTGTAAATCTTTACGGGAGCAGAAAGCCTCATCTTTGTCCCGCGGAGCGGCTGGTAGTTTCTAACTGCTGACCTTAAGGTTTGCAGCCCAATTCATAACCACTACATTACCAGAGCTCCTTTGAATTATATTAAAGTTTAACAATTCTTGGAATATACTAAAGCAAAAGAAAAAGAATTTTCTTCTGTACATGGAAGTTCAATATTTGCATTACGCAAATAGAAGATCTAAGAATTTACATAATCTGAATTAAAGTGAGTGGCATATGAGTCCATTGCAGGTTTTTTTTTATTAGAAGGGACACATAGTCTCCTTAGATATCAATAAGACTCCTAGTTATTTTGTGGAGAATAGACCTTAGGGGTCAAAGAGGATATTACTGAAAGGAATTTAGAATGGTGTGGAGCTGTAAGATAAGCACTGGACTGTTAACCAAAAAATTGGAGGTTCAAATCCACCAGCTGCTCCTTGCAAAACTTACACAGTGTCACTATGGTGGTGGCTGTGTGCCGTGGAGTTGGTTCTGACTCATAGCGACCCTGTACAGGGTTTCTGAGGCTGTAAATCTTTACAAGAGCAGAACGCCTCATCTTTCTCCGGAGGAACAGCTGGTTGTTTTGAACTGTTGACCTTAAGATTTGCAGCCTAATTCGTAACCGCTGTGCTATCAGAGCTCCTTAATTCAATAGCACTTAACAGCAACAAAATAGTATAACTTCATTCAATCCAGGTGTATATATACACTAATATATATAAGTACAATATAGTGTGTACAATAGTTATTTTTACTTAGAACTTTATAAAAACAACAAAAAAAGATATTGAAAAGAATTTAAAACAGTTTTCTGCACATGTCTCTATACCTCAACTATACATGATGATGTAAGGTTTGAGAATGAATCTTCAGTTCTTTTACAAGGCAATTTATGATATACTCTTAATCAATATGACTAAGGGAAAAATTCTCAACAAGTATGTATTTTCTGCTATGTCTCAAGTTGTTCTTGTCTCAAAGTCATGCTCAGCTTCCCTCAATTGGTTTCAGGGTCCTTATTACACAGGACTTATGAGATTTGGTTTGTTAAATCTAGGAATGGTTGTATTAGCAAAACTCTGTCTTAACTTGATCACTCTATGGCTCCTGACAGTTAAAGTT